TCGATCAAGTATTACAAAAAAATCTATCATGGATTCAAAAAAAAAAAAAAAAAAATTCCATACGGAATCGCCGATTCACTGTTCGGACTCGCCGATTCGGTACAGTGAATCGGCGATTCACTGTACAGAATCGTCCGGTTCTCTCTAGAACCAGACGATTTCCGATTTTTGGGCGATCCGGTTCCTTTTTCACTATTTCCGAGTCGAACCGGGCGAGTCCGGTTCGACTCGGCGTTTTTTAAAACGCTGGTCGCAACACTTTCGCCTAAACTTATTTGAAAATTGATATGGTATATTTAAAATTTTAAAATTGTGTTAGCCTCCCAAAAATTTTGGAATATGGAAATCTGAAACTTACTTGAAAATTGAATGAAAATTGTATGTATGAATATTTCTGGATTTAAAAAATCCAATATTTGCTTTAAAATTAAAATTTTGGATTTTCAACAATAGAAATTGAATATTGAAAATCTGAAAATTTTTGTTAAAATTGAATATTGAAAATCTGAAAATTTTTGTGAGGCCAAAAAAAAAAAAAAGAAGAAAAAAAGAGAGCCCTAGCTATTCTTCAAGATCTTAAAATATGCAATTTTGGATCTTGAAGGTCCAAATTTTTTTTGTTGATTTTTTGATCTTTGAAGATCCAAAATATAGCCAATTTTTGAACCACCCAAAAGCCGGCTCTAGATGTCATCACGATAAACTACAAGTAAAATTTTAACAATGTTAAATAAAATATATATTAGCATATTTTTTCTATTGTAGTTACCTCCATGTTAGAAAATGGATCAATTTCATGTTCCTTTCTTCTAAATTTGAAATTACTCTACAAAAATAACTTTAAGCAAGAGATTATTTAAATTCGGATTAAATCAATATTAATTGTTGTATACTAATTAGATATAATTATATACATTTTTAACGTTATTTAAAATTGAAAAAATTACGTAAATATCTATTTTAGTTCCTGTTATCACCAAAATATCAAATACTTTCCGTTATTACTGATATGTCCATTTTTTGGAGTTCATAACAATTTTTTTTTAAAAAAGACAAAACTAAAAAACCCGAAATCGTGCTAATTTTGGTTTTTAAAAAATACAAATTTTAAATTTTCGGTTTTTCAAGAGCCGAAATCTTTTAATTTTCTATTTTTCAATAATCGAAATTTTTTAATTTTCTATTTTTCAAAAAAACGGATAAAAAATATCGAAAAAGAAAGAAGCCCATCATTCAAATTCAGAGATGATAACGCTAAAGTTCTAATAGAGAACTAACACATTTCTACAGATTGGAGTGAGGGTTATGATCAACCCAAGAATTACATGATCAAAGAAAAGATCCGAAGAGAATGAAAACTCAGCTCACAAGAACACCTACTTAATTTTCAAAGAAGCAACAGAAACCCTAGAAAAAAAAAGAAGCTTTCAATCGATACCCAAGGATCCAAATAAAGATCAAGGAGAGGCATAAAGAATGCAGAAAACCAAGCATAACTCACATAGAAAATGGTAGCACATAAAAAATAAAAACCATGTAAGAAAGAGATATAGAGAGAGGGAGAGAGAAGAGAGAGATATAATACCTGGAGGAGGTTTCCTGTAGGTTGGCCTAGGGCTTTTCTTGAAGGCTTCATGAGTACCGATGCCCTATGATGCTCTCTAGTCAGCCATGTCCTAAGAAGAGAGAGAGGAGAGAGAGAGGAGCAGAAAAGAATACTCTCCAACAATAGGAATTTCAAGGGAAAAATGAGCAAGTAGAGAAAGAGAGAGAGAGAGGTAGAGAGAATACGCAGAGGACCACAAGCCAGAGAAAAACTTTCGGTCCGAAAATTTAAAATTTTTGTTTTTTAAAACCTGAAAATTTAAAATTTTTAATTTTTCAAAAATCGAAATTAGCATGATTTTGGTTTTTGAAAAAACAAAAAAAAGGGTAGTTTCATCTTTTTATTTTAAAAAATTGTTGTGAGGTACAAAAAAACAGACATATTAGTAATGACGGAAAATTTTCAGTAATTTATTAATAACGGAAACTTGAATAAATATTTACGTAATTTTCCCTATAAATTTTTATGGTTAAAATTTATGTTATTACATTAGTACAGTTTGCTACCTATTATTCCAATAATACTTCCCATTTTTTAAATAACGGAATTGACCTTTTTCGATTTTCAAAATCTTTGCAACCTTAATGCCCAGTTTGGATGTCGGAAAAAAATATTCACATTGAAAAAAAAAATGCAATTTTTTTCTTAATTGAGAAACATTATCATTTTATTTTATTATGTTGGTCCGAAGTATTGAAAAATTTTCTGCAAAAGAGAGTAATGGAAAACATGATTACAACCAATTATATCTATATGCCATATTATGTTCAATAGTGAGCACAATCGTCATCCCAAAGTGCTTTAGCAACAAGATCTCGTAGTTCATCACCATCATTTTTATCAACTTGGGGGTTTACATCGTTATGTTGAATATTTGTTCCTTTAAGTGATCCACGTGTAAGATCCCTATCATACTCCTCACAGAGCCAATCATCACCATCTATTATAGTTCGGATATGACTAAGTAAAGTGCAAGCAACAACGACTATCTTAACTTGTGTTTCATAAGGATATATTGTTGCCACTTTCAAGAGAGGGAATCTTTTATTCAACAAGCCAAATGCACGTTCAATAACATTCTAAAGAGATGAATGCCGAAGATTGAAGAGCTCCTTTGCATTTTATTGGGCTAAAATTCCCCAACCATAAGCCTTCAAACGATACCTCACCCCCCTAAATGGAGCTATGAAGTTTTGTGTGTTTGCATAACCCACATCAACGAGATAATATTTATCTGAATGCATATAAATAACAAAAGTTATAGCTATATATATATATTCTAAAAATAACAATACTTTTGTAGGACGTGGATGAGAACTATGACATTTATTAGCAACCTTGAAATAAAATTTAAATATTCCACCAAATATAAAATTTTTGAAGGTAAGAAAACTAACCGTGACCTCTGGGAACCTTGAAATTAGATTTTAGTACAGCTTTTAACACAGAAGAATTTGATGATGATCTCTCCCACCCAACAAGTACATATTCAAAGCGAAGTTCAAAAGAACAAGCTACTATTACATTTTGTAATAAAAAGCCTTTCCTATTCCATTGTGGAGCTTGCTCTTCAACACCAATACTCACATGAATATGGGTACCATCTATTGCCCCAATACAATTCTTCAAAAAGTAAAGCAAGAAAACTTCAATTAAAATCAATCATCAGTTTTCCAAAATTATCGATGGATACCTAAATTTAAAATAAATACCTTGAAAAAGAGATAATAAATGCTTTTCTTGCGAATTTCTGAAGGAGAGCTACTTAAAGGTAGATGAACATAATCGAATGATAATTTATATATTACATTGAGAACTCTCTCAAAATGGCGACTAACGGTTTCACCTGAGTGTTTGAACCGGTCTTGGACTGTGTGATTGCTTGAGCTCTTCCCCATGATGTATAAGAACATTTCCAACTTATCTTCAACCTTTACACCTCGAGTATGACTCAGAAGATATCTACTTCAAAGAATCTCAAAAAGCTTTGAAATACATTTAACTCCATACGACAAACTTTGGAGCAATTACAACATGGGCATGGTCATTCCAACTGAAACCACTTTGGTTAATAAAGTTCTTCGCAATAAAATATTACTTCTTAAGTGTAGCCCATCGAGTTTTAAATTATTGTACGGTATTTTGAACATCAAAATTTTTATTAAATGCATCCAAGACAGACCTCCAATCCTTTTTCTTCTATCCAATATCAGACCGCTTCCTAACAAAATGTAATTTTTTCAATTGCTCAACCATGAATTCATCGCGAGTTGCACTCCAATTTGTCTTGATTGGATCTTTAGAGGTAGGGGGGTTGCTCTGACATCTCTAGGCTGAATAATACCCTCTAACACTTGTCAAATTATTGCACAATCATGACTTTATGTAAAATGGATGTTATAGAAGCTTACATATATCATAACTCACATACAGAAGCATCGCATGTAAACTAGATTTTGTGTAGCTATCTCATATTATACACTTACACCTTCATGATAAAAAGATTGTGAACAAATGTATGGGTTTATGCTACTATTTATCGGTGCAGAATATTATTATATAACATTACTGGAAATTCAACATCAAATGTACATTAATGCATGTTGAAGTACAACAAATGAGGGGGAAACCGGTTGGTGTAATCAGCAATGATTAGCCTAAAATTTTTTTTCAAAAAATTAATCAAACACTTCTAATACATCATAATTTTCCATACAAAGAAAACAACACAAAATAAAAAACATGCTCACAAATTATAATAAGTGATAAGTTCATTTTTCTTAGAGAGAGAGAGATTTAAATCAATTGGTTTTTCTTGGAGGGAGAAAGATTTAAATCATTTGGTTTTTCTTCGAGAGAGAGATAAAAAAGCAAGCAACATAGTACCAAATAAATGAGATAATATCCATGGAGATAGAAATTAAAGTTTCAGAAAACTGACTACTTCACCAAAGTAGATTTCACAAACTTTTGACATGACGAAGATTGTGCCTATTTTTTGTTGATGGTCGGCCACTGATTTTACAGACAGAGTGTGTAGCAGCAGGGTGTCTAATGATTTTACAGACAGAGTGTGTAGCAGCAGGGTGTCTAAAATGAGAGTTTGTAAGAGGGTTCTTACCACCCATAATGAATAGTGATGTACCATTGCCTGTGTTGAGCTGAATCATAAACTCTCATTTTATATAAATCCCCATTTATTTTTAAAAAACCTCAAAAAATCAACAATCTATATTGGTTTCAATCTTCGAGGTAAAGTCCCCAACATCATAAAATGCTTATTTCTATAGAGAGTACCTTGATGGACCAAAGATGTTAGACGTCCTTTATAAACTTTCGTTTGCCAATGTTTTGATGTAGTAAATTATCATTTACAAACCTACCCCTAAAAACTTTTTGAGTGATTTGATGAGAGAGAGAAAGAGTTCTGAGACCTGCTTGAGAGTAGCAGAAAGGTTTTTGTAAGTGCAACGAGTAGCAGAGAGGTTTTTGTAAGTACAACGCAGAGTGGGAAGGTTGGGTGGGAAGGCGCGATGCAAGAAGCGAAAAAAATTTGAGTTGAACTCAAATATTTTTCACTTACGGTTAGAGGTAAATTTGGCTTAGCATCATAATTTGTTTTGATGGGGAATAAAATCTAATGGGGTTATCCAAACGCTTCTAAGTTGCTATCTCAATTCTTTTAAGAAATTTAAAAATATTCTATTTTTTAAATTTTTTTTAAAAATATTCCAATTTTGGATACATCCAAACTATTCCTAAACTATCCAATTAAGGCGCACCACTAAATTTTATCATAAACATAATTTTGACAAAAAAAACTTAGGATGGCTTGAGAATATATAAATTTTAGGGAAAATTACAAAAACCCCTCTCAAGTATATTATCTATGCAACTGACCCCCAGCTAATATTTCCTCTCTCTTTTTTCCCCATAACCATGTTTCCTTGCAAAAACCCCCAATCCAAAACAAAAAAAAGAGAGACTAAACTACCCTCCTCTCTCTCCTCATGGCTTTTACCCATGAATCTCTCCCCATGTGATCCGGCAGTCCATTTAAACGCTCTGGCAATGAAGACACGTGCTCCTGCAATACAAGAACTCGCTTCGGCAGTACACCTTCTAGAGCCATAGTGGTCCGACAGTTAAATAGGTCACTCCGCAATGAGGACACACGCTCCGGCAATACAAAGACGCGCTACTGCAGTACATCTTCTGGTGCCACATCACTCTGGCGGTTGAATAGGTCTCTCCGGCAATAAAGACAAGTGCTCCGGCAGTACAAATACGTGCTCCGATAGTACACCTTCTGGAGCCACATCGCTCCGGCTGTTGAATTGGTCGCTCTGGCAATACGCTACTTGGGATTGTCAATTGACTTTTGTTTGTAAGGAAAGGCATTTCTGTCCAAAAAATAATAACTTTTTACCTTGGGGGTTTTTGGGAGGAAAAGTGATTGTGGGGAAAAAAAATGAGATGACAGGTTAGCTGGGGGGTAAGTTGCATAGATAGTATACTTGAGGGGGGTTTTTGTAATTTTCCCTTTTCTTAAACTCTAAAAATAGTTCAAATAAGATAATGGGTTGCAAGATACACTATTTTACGGATTTAAAATCTTTTTTCTTTTCATATCCATACATCTCGATGTCGAGATGATCAATTAGAGGGTTTTCCAACATCCGAACGACCTTTTATGATAGATTTTTTAGGTGTATCTTTAATTATACATTTTAAAGTTGCAACCTTGTATAAACTTTTTCCTTAAAACTTTGGGATGCTCAACATGTGAAAAATTGCATTTTAGAGTCCCCTTACATTTTTCAGATTTTGAAAATATGAAATTCATTTGAAAATTTAATTTTTTTTTAATTTAAAAATGGCTCTGATTTTAAAATTCCAAAAACGGGCAAAAAATAATAACATCTTAACAATTTGACTTACCCCAATAAAGTGCCCCAACAATTTTGGATTTTGAAAATGTGAAATTTATTTGTAAATTGAGATTTTGGATTTTAAAAATCCAAAAATTGCATTTTAGCGTCCCAACAATTTCGGATTTTGAAAATTTAAAATTATTTGAAAATTGAATATGGAATTTCAACATTTGAAAATTGCATTTTCCCACATGATCATTTATTTTTGTTAAATTTAGATATTGAAAATCTAAAAATTTGTGTGACACAGTATAAAATTATCGGCAAATAATACCAGTAAAAATAACTACGTTTAAGAAAAAAATAAAAATCGTGAAGGAAATCACATGAAGAAAGAATATAATGTGCGGATACGAGTATTCTGACATGGGTCCATAAGCACAAGAGAAGAAACACACCCACAAAGGGGCATCTTTCTCCAAGAAAGCATTTTATTTATCAATCAAAATTTAATCTCCATTTACATGGTGCATGCCTCCTTTTATGTATTTAAATCACCTTCTCATGTCACCAAGATACCCCTGAAACTTTCGGGGCCATTTTAGTCATTTTATTTTACTGGAAATATTTATTTTATATTTTTTATATTTGAGAGTTCAAGAGAGGATTCGACACTCATATTTTGGTGTCAAATTTTTTTGTATAAAAAATATTAAAAATAAAATGGTATAGAGGGTGAGATTGTGATGTAATTGGGGCCATCTAAGCTGTCCATTTAAAATGGACGGTTGGATAGAGAGAAGTATAGAAGTTTTATGCTATAGGAAAGCATAGAAAGTTTGCCTAATACAAAATTCAATAGCATAATTTTAATCATGTTAAAATAACTGATATGTTTGTCATTTACTCTAACTAAAACATAGGACATTATTTCTTTTATTAGTAAGAACTACACGACCACTCAAAGAATTGAAAAGCTAATTTTTTCCAAATAGTTTAATTTACTTTGAATATAGAATTTATTTTCTCTTGAAAATTGTTTATTGATTTTCCTTCTCAAATATCATGCCGGCAAAAAGAAAAACAAAAAATAATCAAAAGAAAATAGAAAATTGAGAAAAAGACATAATCAAGAGCATGGAGCGACCACAAACGTAAGAGAAGAACGGCAAAATTCAGACACGATTTCGGACAAAATTGAGATTCATTCACCAAGGGTGGGTTCATGAGTCCCAGTAAAAGAATAAAAGAACAACAAAACCTTGAAAAAAAGGTGCAGTTGGCATACAGATGCATCTGTAGCTGTAGAGATAAGGTGCGTCTTCAAATTTTATCATCGTATATAATTTTGATATAAAATATTTTTAGGATTATCTCAAAATCTATTTTTTTATTTAATTATAAAATTTTAAAATTAAAAAATGATTAAAATCAAGTAGATTTATAAACATATGAAAATCTTGAAAATGAACAGTGTAGATAATACGTCGTAAAATACACTATTTTTGGAAGGTCATCCATCCTGATGTCGAGATGATCAAACAATTCCATCCATCACTAACATTCAATCCGCGGCTTCTATTCCTGTAAAGAGCCATGTGCCCACCCGATTCATCAAACATTTCAAAGATCAAGTGGCAATACTTGCAGTCTCTCTCTACCTTCATAATCTTCTTCAATGGGTGGATCATCTCAGCTCTCTATGCGTGGTCATGTGACCACCGAGGGCTTGGGCAGAGGAGAATACCTATCCGGTCATGTGACCATCGGATAGGCAATGTTGTTGATAGGCTAGGCAATGTTGTTGATAAGATTACCTTTTTTTTATGGAGATTTAAGTTGTTGATGGAGGATTTCCATTTATTTGGAATCTTTTTAGTTATTTGAAAATGATTGATTCTAAGATTTGTATATTTTCCATTAAAAGGAGTTTCTCAATTAAAAAAAACTAAATTTTACAATTTAATTTAATTTTTTTACAATAATAATTAGAGAAAATTACTCTAATATTTGTTTTATTTGGC